GCTGCTTTGTTTACAGGGTTTCCGGGGTAACGGCTGCATTTAAATGAATTATTATTATTATTATTATTTCTGCAGTTTAGCGTCATCTGCTGTCAGAGAGTGAAAGTGCGCTTTCATCCAGAGGTCTCTCACATGCTCCGCCATGTGCTTCTCATCCGCGCTTATTTACATCAGAGTGCGCACGCTTCTTTCACGCAGCATACAGTGGTGTTGTGCATTTTGACCAGTTGATGGGAAAAGTATTCTTAAAATGCATTCAAAATTCTAAATAATTTGTAATATATAATCATTCACGGTATTTAGAAGTACCCACGATAACAATATTGTGCATATTCATTACCGTGATATATCGCATTACCGAATACCGGCACAAGTCTAGTTACAGCTGGAATGTTGGTGTTCATGTTGTAAAGGGTGTTGAGTTTTGGGTATGTGTACAGTCAGGCGTGTTGTGAATGGAATATTTTGGATGTTTATTGAATTAATTTTCTGTTTTTATTGTGGAATGATGTAGAAAGATTTCCTTTTCTCAAAGTTAAAAATCGCCAACAATGGCTCAGCTAAATTTTGTTTTGCCTCTCTAATGACGCTGGCAGCCATAGTTTAAGTACACAAGATGTGATAATGTGGCACAAAAGTTCTTTTTTTCTTTTCCTCAAAACAGAAAATTCAGCTGAAAAGCGGTAGGAAATTAGATTCTTCTCAGTTCTGTGGTCAGCAGTAGTGAAGTGAAAGTAATCTGAAAAGACACATGATATAGTTCCTCACATCAGGAGTTGTGTATGTTTTCACAGGCCTGAGTTAGTTTGGAGGGCAATGATGGTGGATTTGTGGTTTTCTGCATTGTCCAGCACTGTTTCTGTCCAGATGTTTCTGGGTTTTGTGGTGGGACCATTGTCATCCTGGGACAGACGTCCCACTGGGTTCCCATGTGATGGTTCAATTGGAGTGAGAGAGAGTGGACACTCAAAGTGTGTTTACTTTGGGCTACGGTTCAGCCTGGCACCTCGGGGTCATCTAGAACAAACACACAGGGAGGTCCTTAAGTTTAGCCGGTCCTCCCGGACTATACCTCTGGTTTACTTAAGGCCTGTTCAAGCAGAAGCTGTAAACACTCGTTCAGATGATCCTCACAGTTCCTGACCACAGGCCTGGCCAAATGTTGCAGAGAACTGTTGAAAGAAATGGCTTCTTATTAATGATATCTCTTAACTTTTGAGCTAATTCAAAGGTTTGCAGTTGGAGAGGGAGGAAAAGGGAAACAGAGCCAGTTTCTTGTTTCAGGCCTTCGCTCAGAGAATGAAAGGAAGGATGCACCATGTGAGGCAAATGTTAAGTGCTTACGGATTTCAAAAAGCCACATGACTATTATTAACTCTCAAGGTGCTTGTTGTCACATCCTGGTATTGAAGAAAGATTTCCACAGCAGCATTTCATTACAAAATATTGATTGATGATAGTGATAGCAATAAAGCAACCTGGCCAAAAAAGTTCAGATGATATTTTAAAAAATAAATAATATATTTAATATATAAAATGTATTCTAAAAATAATTGGTATTGGCAGGAAATTGCATTTATTCTTATTTAAAACATTGAGTCCTTAAAATGGTATTGGGCTAATTAAATAACCACTTGTGATGCACTGACATTTTGGCAACTGAAAATATTCGGCCAAAAACAAATTTTCAGTTTTGTCCAAAATGGAAATCGAAACGGAAATCATGGAGCTTGACAATATAGCTAGATTTCTTGTTTTTAATCGATCCAAGAACCAAGATATTTTAAGTCTATACTGTTTTAAGTTGGTGCGTAAACAAACAAAACATCACTAAACCTTATTTGTAGTGGGCCTACCATCCAAGTAACACAATAAGCTTTGTGTTTGTTACTTTTGATATGAAACTAAGTCGGAGCTTTCCAATTCTGTCAATTTTATAACAATTCAAACAATACATTTCATTTTGACACTCTTTAATAAGATGTGAACCGATCAACTCTGCCTCTTTACTACTAGCTACAGAATGAAATAAACATGAAGAAACATCAGAAGGTATGTTGAAAGAAATGTATCATGTATAATACAGAAAATGTATCATGTCTCATGTAATCACTTAATGTTTCAAATGCAGAGAGATATCATTCAAACAGCTTGTAAACAATATGTCACGTAACATTACATTTGCCTATCAATGTCCATAAACATGTTAGTCAGCTAAAAAAAACATTTTGTACATATACATTTTGGTGCATAACTGTTAATAACATTTGCTAATATATTTGTATGAATCATTTACAGAGCTTTATATATTTTTTATCTTCAAATTGGAGGTAATTTTACAGGGACAGGTTGTCAAGTGAGATTGGAAAGGTGCAGAATTGACCCAGATATCAAGCTGTGATGTTTTGGGAACCATCTGAAGCACTTTGCTTGTTCCCGTAGAGGTTTTTACAAATTTTTTTTTTGGACTTGGCTTTAGGATTCTTCCCCTCTGACTGTGTACCCTACTAGTGTTTGTTTGACAGACACCAGGCCCTGGTAATCTCTGATATGAATGGAATGTGTCCGAGACAGAGAGGCTACCGGCTCCAACATAATGAATGTCCTATCATCACGACTTTCTCAGGGAGACCGCACTGGCAAGCTTACTTTTATTTCACAGGTGTTCACCCCAACCACTCACAATGTGTGGATGGAGCTCGAAAACTGGCACTATAGAGCTTTGAAGAACAGTATGCTACATAAAATGTAGCCTGGTAAATCATCACATTAATTTGAGTTGGTTGACAGCGTGTCTAATGGTTGGTTTCCAGTTGGTTTGTGTCAGATCAGGGGTGGGGAGGCCCCCAGGTGCTTTGTTGGTCTAGAATAATCCTGGAGCAAAGCCAGACCACCAGAACAATACAGCCACTCTGATCCACATGCTTCAGAAGAGCCTGACCAGCTTTGATTATTGTGAAAACAGTTGACATGCAGTTGGAGTGTCCAAATATTTCATAAGTGGTGGCTTTGGGTCCTGTTGGACAGGTGGGAACCCGGCACAGAGCAACAATTGGAAGGATGAGGCTTTGATGGTGTTTATTTGTTCTTCATGAAAGGCACCGGTGTATGAAGGGAATGTAGGAGACATTTAATTCCCACACAAGTCATGGTGAAGTCACTTGCCTTGTTTACCTGGTGACACAAAGGAGGAAGGAGACTCGCCAGAAGGTGTGTTTGTGCTTGTTAAGTGGTTTGTCAAGGGAAATAATTTCTTCTTAATTACTGATGTTCATTCAGATGCTGTTGATTGAAGTGGATCTTCTGTAGGTTTCTTTTACATGGCAGTTTTTTGGGAGTCACTGTAATTGGCTAGAATTGAATGAGTGTTATTTTGACTAATCTAAGGATGATGAAGATTAGTTCAAGGATGCGCTGATATTAAATGTCTGTCCAATACCAATGCTAGTTGTTAGTTGATAAATGCCTGATATTATGATTTTATATTATTTTGTATATATATATAAATAAAAAATAAAATATCAACACCTAAAATAAATCATTTCAAATGATACAAGTGAATTTAGGCATCACAAAATTATATAATGTACAGTATGAAATTTGGATATTAATTTTGTGATTTGCTAAAGATGTTATTAAACAATGTTATTAAATTGTGTTTTTAAAGACTACCTTTAAGTGAGATGATGGCTAAGGTAGTCTAAAGATAAAAAGGGAAAATTACACATGCATAATTAAATATCCAATATTGACTGATTAAGAAAAATTATATATATAAAATAAAAAATATAAATCATTTCAAATGATACAAGTGAATTTAGGCATCACAAAATTATATAATGTACAGTATGAAATTTGGATATTAATTTTGTGATTTGCTAAAGATGTTATTAAACAATGTTATTAAATTGTGTTTTTAAAGACTACCTTTAAGTGAGATGATGGCTAAGGCAGTCTAAAGATAAAAAGGGAAAATTACACATGCATAATTAAATATCCAATATTGACTGATTAAGAAAAATTATATATATAAAATAAAAATGTTTAATATTGTCCAAAATCCAATATGGTACCAATTAGACATATTTTCTTCAACCAGGGTTCATTTAATATAATTTTATGTGATTTTTTTTCCACATAGTGTAAATGGATTGTGTTATGTCAGCAAGAGAAGTATAAAACTGTAGAGGAAATCGAGAAATGTAGGGGTTATCTGTACTGATAGTTCGCTGCAGATGTTATTGTTCTGTCCTCTCTCCATCAGACAGTGGAATATCCTGAGGGAAATGAAAAAATTCCACTTCCCTCAGTGTTTCCCCTCCTCCATGCTTGGAAGCACAAAGGTTTTTATTTTCCATCAGTATCAACAGACCTTGCTGCGTTTACACTCTTCACTGATCACAAGACAAACAAAGAAGCGTTAAATAATTAAAATCTGAAATGCTTGTGAAATATTTACATCCTTACTTTGCTCAGAAAACCTTTTTGTTATAGTTGTTTTAATTGAGTTAATTATTTACTTCATTAAACATTGTAATTGAGAGAAGACAAATTTCTTATTAAAACTAGGCTGTGCAAAGCCCACTTTTGCATTCAGTTTACTCGAAAAACAAAGCCATCAGAGCTTTCATTTAAAAAAAACCCTGCAAGTTTCCAAGTAAGACAATCTGAAGTTTTTCCACTCTGTGGAGGTTTTAGGCTGGAGGGCAGAATATGTCCTGCTCCGTACCCCAGCCGTGATGCTCTCTTGCTGGGCACAGTGCAAAGAATTCTCCCTTTAGCAACTCTGGTGGCCTCTGAATGAATTTCCCATAGCTGAAATACTTTAGTCAGCCTAGAGAGTCACAGGTGGGCTTTAGGGTCCTCAATAAAGCAGAATTACCTGTCAAGTAGGGATGTTCCGAGCCGTTGTCAAGGATCTGGATCGGGGCCGATTAAGCATTTTTTGACTGATAGGTATTGGCTATCCTAAACCCAATCCTTATTTTACTTCAGCTATCATGCCGGTGTCATGCAGTAGGTGGTGATGCCTTCCAGTAGGTTTGCCAACCTCAATTAAAAGGAAAAGAAGACACACAAATGAGCATGCGAGAACCAATGAGGTCTGTCCTAGCACCACACACACACACACACACACACACACACACACACA